TTCTATAGAAAAGCTAGACAGCAATCCAGGAATATACTACGAAAGAATAGATCAAATGAGAATAAAGAGGACAGACTGGAACGTTACATATCCATCGACTTCAATTTGTTCCTGGCGAAGACCACGGCTATAATTGACCTATGGTCACTACTACAAAATTGTACTGGGCATCTCAATAAGGAAACTTGCAGTAATATAATCAGAAAGGATCATATTGACCTGAAGACAATCGCTCTTGAACAAATACAAACGAAGATTAAAGGACCTATTGAGAACATGGACATATTCAACCAGCCGATGACCAAGGACCTAAAAATATCAAGCCAAAAAGACTGGTATCTTTTAGAGGTATAGAAAGGCTGAGTAATAGTTTATTTGGATTAGTAACTATTGACGAGACTGATAAAATAGAAGCCAATATAAATCAATTATATGCAGACCAAAAGGATATCATTAAACTTTTCAATGACAGGACCCATATAATCACCACAGGAATGGATAAACTTTATAAAATGATGGACGTTCACGGGGACAGAATTCACAATTTAAACCTCCAGATGCGACAAAAATTCAAGAAATTAGAAAATGAATGCTTGACTGGAATACATGATTTCAGTACAATCATTTGGAAGAATGTTGGAGGCAAAACTAGACCATTATATCAAAAATTCGGAAAAACTTCTTGAAATTATTCATGCGTTAAAAAGGGGTAAAGTACATCTGGACCTTATAGACTCTAACATGTTGCACCAGATAGCAAATGATATCAAATTCATGGTAACGGACCTTGATTTCCCAATTCCGACTGAACACCTCAGAATCGAGGAAATATATAAAATTTCCAGCATTGATGCAATCCAGCGAGAAGGGAAGACATACATTGTCATTCATTTACCTCTAGTTGAGAGAAATTACTATAACCTATACCGTCTGCACTCAATATTGATACCACAATTACCAAGTTTAACTGAAAAATCCGCATATATTAGACATAGATATCCGTACTTGGCATTAAGTTGTGATCAAAAACAATATATACAGGTGGACCACTCATTACAAAGTTATGTGCGAACACACTATACTTTTATATGTCCGGTAGGAGGACCTGTCTTAGACGCTAATTTAAATAGAAAATGTAAATTGTTCAAATTGTTTGCCCAAATCAAATGGACCAAAAAACCCAAATACAAGGGGTAGGAATACTAAGAATTGCCCCGGGGTGCATCGGATATGCCAAGAATGCAACTTTGTTTACGGAAACGAACAAAGACAATACGTATATTTACCTATATAAACCAAGACCCTCAACCAAACACATCTTTACCCGACGCTAACCTATTTATCTGAAACAGATATTAAATTAGAAGAATGGACTGCACAAACTGAAACCTGGACCAGCCAAGAAAAGACATTAAGCGATATTATGGAAAAGATAGAAATGATAAGATATCATAAAAAATGACAACATCGCACTAATTTATGGAAGATTCAATATTAATATCCTAATCATAATAATTATCAGTATAATTTATAAATGCTGCATCGTACGCACAAAAGCGTTAACTAATACCATAACACACGAATCATCTCACATGCCTACACCAAAGTCGTCTCAACACGATTCACCGGATCCCCGACACAGATCAATTTTTCATAGCTTCGGACTGACCACGAATAAGCAAACGCCTACCCGGATGTCCAAAGAACAATCTAAGAAACAAATCCTTCATATTCAACCTTCAAAGAAACCGAAACCCTCCGCGACTATACCTAATCCATTGATAAGATCTGAAAGTTCTTCGGGTTTACAAATCCAGACAGCGGAGTCTATATGAAAATTAATCAATAATTTATTGATCATTTGTTTCAGTATTCAATATCATCATCAGTGTCGTATCCGAGCATTGGATTATAAATCCGACGTGCATCAAGATATGATATTTAAAACATAAGTCGCTGAGTGAACTTTTGACACTATTAGAAAATATCAGACCCATACAGGAATTCCATTTATTACAAAATCTCACGAATAATAGTACAAGAATTATTCTCTGTAAATTTACTAAGATTATATATGCAATTGAAGCAAGAAAGATAAAAAATTGGAACATAAATACGATAAACCATACCCGTATTGAAAAACCAAAACCGTTACGAACAAACAATTCAAGACCCACGGAGAAAACCCGATTATTTTGTCGACTTTCCTGGACAATCGAAGAAAATTATAGAGAATTATCTTTTTTCCAACACTTCGTACAATTCGGACCCTTATTGTATCATAAAGTGGTGCGAGATAACAAAGGAACCCTTGCTATAGGATATGCCCAGTATTACAAAGCTGCTGATGCAGCAACATCCTTAAAGGAATGCGATCCTATTGACGGCACTAGATATGCTGAGATACGGAAAAGAAGATGGGACAAAAGTAATGAAACAAGACACCACTGGCTTTGCGGATAGATGCATCAATCTACGAAGTTCATGATACTACCTGCAGGTGGCAGCACCAGAATAAACTCAGGAAAGGAAAAATGAAAAGACAATACCCTAAATCATAAGTGAGAAAAGTAAATAATATGAATTCGACCAAAACAAACCGACCTGGCATAAAAATAGACAAAGATGGACCTTCTACAGACCTTGTTACGCTCACGGAAATTAAATTACTGGACCCTATTCCTAGTCCACGGGTAACTTTACGAAAAACACGACGAATTAACTTAACAGAAAAAGATATGACAACAGGAATCGACCCTGAAGATAGAAGATATTTAGAATCAGCCGTATAATTTATAAGTTATAGGATAAAAATTATTGAACCTCTTGAATCGTATTTATTATTATTTTACTTAGCGGACCCAAAACTCATTAATCTTTGACCTATTTTTTCACTTTTGTCTATGTCTAGCCTTAAATCTATGTATCTTTCTTTCTCTCGACCATGCCACTAACTGGACCATATTTTACCTTAGGATGGAAGAAATTAACGGTATTCGCCTCCGAGCTGTTGGACCAGTAAATAATTATTCTACCGCACTGCAAGTCAGATATGATGATCCTCGATAAGAGGCTGCGATAATTAAATCATTTGGTACTGTGGGGACCAAACGGTCTACTACAACAATATTATCTTCACTTTCCCCATAGTAAGGAGAATTTATAATAGAATTTCTTCAAGAAGATGATTACCTTGCTGTGGTCCTGAAATTCTTCCCGTACACCGTAGGAGATTGGTCTCCTCGTAGTATAGACGACCCTTCTACGGAGGACGAAGAGGAGGAGAAAATAGACCCTGTAAAATTGACACCACAACCAACTACATCGGCCCACACAAGAAAAGATGATGCCGACCGACGCTTATACTTCCTCATACCGAATCATGACGAACAACGAAAACCATAGTCAGAGCAGCGGGTCCGTGATGACTTCGCACGGTTTGGATATGTCGAGCCCTTGAATTTTATGATTGATTTCGATAGCAAAAATCCTCAGGAATACGTAGGAGCAAGAATTAAAAAAAAATATATACTTTTTGAGATATTAGCATTTGTTTAAACAAAAAGTTAATAACTTTCGAAGAAAAATGTTTTATTGTTTATTGTTGTAATTATTTCGAAATTTTACGGCATTATAAGTATTATAAAAAAAATTCGACTTCGATATCTTTATTAGTTTTTAAAATATAGCCGTTTAAAAATTTTTTATCATTTTTCTTTAATTGTTAATAACTTTTGATATAATTAACGTATCGATATCAAAATTTGGGAAAAATCTTACTTTCATATGTATAATAATTGTGCCAAATTAAAAAACAATCTGTAACCTAAGGGTTATAAGTCAATCGAAATAGCCAAGAATAACCCATATACTTATCACAGTACTTGCAAACACTATGTAACTAAAACCGAATTGGAGGCACACAAAATCATTTGTCAATATTAAAATAGAAAAGTACTAAGAACTCATTGGTTCTGCGGAAGAGCTGTATATTTCTGCGATTGGGAACAGCATTTAAAAGAATGTAATCTAGGGACCTATGATTACAACGGGTCCTCTTTTGATAACATAAAGAAGTTGATATTATTTTTACAAAATCCCTCAACCAAATCTAAGGACCAGGATTTACTACTACAAGATCAAACTTCCTATCTACAAGACTTCGAGGGGTTAGATTTAACAGCTGGACAAGATACCCGCCAACTTTCGTTGCGCAGATGAAGAGCAAGTCCAAGACTATAAACTTTTGTCTCTTTGTTATTTTTTTTTGTTTGTATACATAAACAAAGAGGACCATATATATTATTATTTATTTTTATTATTATTTATTATTATTAAGTATATTATTATTTTCTATTCTCTTCCTGTACTATCCTAATTGGACCCTTCTTAAACGTTACCGAGGACGGTAACGATTCTAAGGGAGGAGGGGTGTTACGTGACGGACCATTCTCTTTTTTTTGTGCAACCGTATGCTTGATTAGACTCTCGCTTTCGGGAGTCCCACACTCGTGTGAGCGCCTTGGCGGGAGCGAGTGGGAGTCGCTGAGCATGCTGCTACGGTAGGATGTTCAAATTTGTACACTTGATTCGTGAACAATTATGTTGAAATGATTATTTCATTCTCAGAAACAATAAAGGAAAACATAAATATGGTATAACCGTATGAAAATTTGTGATTGTTTCACAAAATAATTGCTGCTTTAGGTGAAGATATAATATTTGCATAAGTTGATAGAAGTAAACTTTTTATTTTAAAAATTAAAAATAATATTGATATATAATAATAAATGCGATAGTGAAAATTGAATTAAAATTTGAAACGATAAAATTATTAAAAGAATTTGTTAAATATAAAAAATTATATAATTTTTTAAATATGATAAATAATAAAATTATAAATAATGTAATATACGTTAAAAATAGTTATACAATAAAAAATGATGTTTAGCATAAAATTATATATTTAGTAATTAAAATAATTATACTTGATAAATTTTTACAATTTTTATAGTCGATATAGATCAAAATAAATATTAATTCATCTACATAAATAAAAATAGTACATTATGATACAAGTTTAGGAAAGAAATTCTTCTCTCGTGTGGTGTTTATGCTCGAACAAAACAAGGATGGATCTACTTTTCCGCATTTGTGTCATATCGTACTATTTCAAGAAAATTGCTATTCCTTTTCCCTATACTTTATAATCACTTAACTAGCTTCAATGTCTAATAATTTAATAATCACTTTTTGTAATAGTATTATTGATTGGTAAAAAACTAATATTTTATAGACATATTGTTACGTGAATAATACATAGAATTTTTGTTCAGTGAAAATATGAAAATCGTAAGGATGTATTATATTCCATGAAAATATATCTCTTTGCGATTTTATAGGTTCAGATAAAGTAATTAAGAATGATTTATAATTTCTATAAAAATTTTAATATGTTTTCTCTAATAACATTTTGTTTAAAAAAAATTAAATCTATTTTATCGCAACAGTATATAGAGCAACTTTTTTCTGGTAGTTTAGAGTAGCTCGCAACATTATATATATATATATATATATATATATATATTATATGAGAAAAGCTAAGTATATTACATGCTATTATAACAATCAGTAAATGATTTTGCAATAGTTTCTTTCATACATTTATGATCAGTAGAAATTAAATATAAACTATAATCTGAAAGGGGCTCTCTGATCTATAGATGTTTGTTGTTTACTTTTTCTTTGCATATGCGTCGAAGAGGCTGACAAGTCTGAAGCTTCTGATGCTTTTCCAGAAAGTTTTGAGGTTGAAGATGCCGTAGTAGTGATCTCGTTGGATGTAATTTTCGTCCTAAATAGAACAAAAAAAAATAAGTTAATGAAGACAGCTATAAAAAAAGTCGTTCAAAAATGATTATTCTAAGATAGACAATAGTGCGAAAATTATTAATATTAGGGTTCAACAAAATAGCATCTACACAATAGTATACATTTTACAGTTAGTAACTAATATTAGCTTAAACGTTCCTAAAATCGCGGCAACATATATATCCTCAATACAATAGTGAAACCGCTATTTAAGAAATATGAACTTAAAAAAACATGATAAAATATATTAAAAATGTTATTTTTAAAAAGTTTTAAACCGTAAAAAAATTTTCTTTTATTAGTACGAAAAAATTAACTATACCATATTAGTAAAGGTGCGATTTAGAAGTTATTGTATAAAAAATATCATATATCAACAAGTACTCGGCGCAACGGTGCATTATTTATTAAAGAACTAAGTTTTCCTAACTTTTTTATTTGCAGATATTATCCCAAAACAGAAAATAGATTTGTACTCGTATAGTAGACAAAAAAATAATATGAGGTTCAGTTTCATGCAACCTCGCGAAAAAAAAGAAACAAAGTCGCACAAATTGGTTTTTCGATAATATTTAAAAAATTATTGTTCCAATTTGATAACTTTCAATGGACAAGTTGTAAGCATTAAAAAGACCTATCGATATTCGATAGACGTATTTAGGTACTTAAACAGTTTTGTTAATTTTCGTGATATAGGCAATTTTCACAAATTTCGGATTTCATTATAAAAAAAATTTTTTTTTGATATTTTGAGCATATGTTTAAGATTTTTAATATATGTTCCTTCAGCTGTTAGAGTATAAAATCCAACCTGGTGCAATGAGGCCAATCAATGAAGCCAAAAATGAGGTAATTTGTGACATTAATACTATCAGCAAACCGACTATGCAAAGTTGCTTAATACTATGTGTAGATGAAAACGTATATGTTTCCAACTCGCAACTTTCATTTAATAACTTTTTACAGTCGTTTGAAATTTGCAAAAACATGTTTTTCGCGTATAAAAACAAAACTATTGAAGTTAGGTATGTACCTCAATGGAATAAGTTATAGATAATAGAATTATCTATAAAATGAGCTATCGCTCATCTCAATCGAGTAATTAATAATTAATATAATTACAAAAAACATCAAAATTGATCAAAAAAGGTAACATTTCCAAATTCATATCTCCACATAGAGTGATGTTGAAAGAATTAGCTTATGATATTTTGTAGATTGCATTGTCTTCTTCATGTATGCTAAATCTGAGCTATATATAATTATTACTTTCGGCACTACAGTAATGACAATTAAACCTTTTTTTTAGTACATCTTGCATAATGCCCTGTGGCTCAGCCGTTAGAGTTATACATTATTTGAAAAAAGTTTTTTAAATTTCAATAATCAAACTACAACTTTGTCATTTGAACTTTTGCTCTAAAATCAGTTTAAAAGGGTGAAATTTGTCGTTGAATATCGGGCAAAATGCGCCCGAGCGTTAAAGAAAGCGAGTGGTGGGAGATACAGATCCCGCGGAGGGGAAGTATATATAGTAATAGAAAAGCCAGGCGCTCGGCGTTTGGCATAAATCACATTATAAGTGTCCCTAAAACGTAACTCAAACTGTTAATTAAATTTCAGTAAAATAGCGTAATTATATATACATCAAAATAAGTAATATTAAAGTCAAACGCCGAGCGCCTGGCTTTTCTATTACTATATATACTTCCCCTCCGCGGGATCTGTATCTCCCACCACTCGCTTTCTTTAACGCTCGGGCGCATTTTGCCCGATATTCAACGACAAATTTCACCCTTTTAAACTGATTTTAGAGCAAAAGTTCAAATGACAAAGTTGTAGTTTGATTATTGAAATTTAAAACACTTTTTTCAAATAATGTATAACTCTAACGGCTGAGCCACAGGGCATTATGCAAGATGTACTAAAAAAAAAAGGTTTAATTGTCATTACTGTAGTGCCGAAAGTAATAATTATATATATCTCAGATTTAGCATACATGAAGAAGACAATGCAATCTACAAAATATCATAAGCTAATTCTTTCAACATCACTCTATGTGGAGATATGAATTTGGAAATGTTACCTTTTTTGATCAATTTTGATGTTTTTTGTAATTATATTAATTATTAATTACTCGATTGAGATGAGCGATAGCTCATTTTATAGATAATTCTATTATCTATAACTTATTCCATTGAGGTACATACCTAACTTCAATAGTTTTGTTTTTATACGCGAAAAACATGTTTTTGCAAATTTCAAACGGTTCTAAAAAGTTATTAAATGAAAGTTGCGAGTTGGAAACATATACGTTTTCATCTACGCATAGTATTAAACAACTTTGCATAGTTAGTTTGCTGATAGTATTAATGTCACGAAAAAATCTTCATTGATTGGCCTAAATGTTTTAAAGCAACGCACTAAACATTATGAACGTTTTTTAAATGTTTTTTAATTTTTTCGTGATTTTTAACTTATTTTCAAAGAATAAGTCAGTAATGACATGAATAAATAAATAAAAAACCAGTGAAGTCAAATTTAAAAAAATTTTATTCCACGTGAAGGTTATGCGACGAAATCCGCCAAAATATGCACTTTCTAAGTACCGAAAATCGAAAATGTTTTTTTCAATCTAGCATTTTCAAACAAATTTTTTTTATTCTGTATGGAGCAATTCGAAAAATTAGCTGTGACTTTATTTTCCATTTACAATAATTAAACATAAACAATAATTAAAATAACAATAATTAAAAATAAAACCATAATTCTAATCAACTAAGTACAAATGATCAACTTTGAAAAGAAATAAATGTTCAAGTTATTTTAAATAACAAATTTGTGCCCTGATTTTTTAGTGGATTTTTAATGAATTTCATCATAATATACGGTAACGGTTGTAAGGGCTCGAAGTATTCGATCGACATTAATGTATATTCAAAAGACCATACAATGAATTCGACGTCACTTTGAGTTCACTGACATTGAATGCTGCAATTAACACTGCATTCGAAAATGTGTTCGACAAGTTATTAATGTCAGACTTTATCGATTTTTTCATTCAAAGTGTATTTAAACAGAAATTGCATGCGTACTAAATACAAACATTTTCTTGAATTTTTCATATTTTTTTTTACTCTGTAATTTTTAAAATTTTGATAAGTAAAATGGCAAATGAATTTTATGTTAATAGTGTTATAAATAATGGAGCTCAAATGTATTTAGTCAAAATTTTTAAAGACAGATGATTTGCTAATAAAAAAAAGATGCCTTTTTGCTTCTTAAATATACATTTCATGTTTACTCCCTAATTATGGAAGCATATAATTCCACCATGTATAGATTTGTTGCTTTTATACCCTAGAATACTATCCATGTGGTTTTGTTTACGCACCAGTAGCAATGCGGCATAATAGTAACAAATATTAAAAATGCAAAAAAGTAGTCATGTCACTTTGGTACCTTATAACTTTTTTCTTATTAAGATTACACATTTCTAATGTATAATATTTATTACGCTCACTAAATACTTGAAATTCATCACCCATTTAAACATTATCAAAAGACACACCAAATTCTACAGAGAAAAAAATAAGAAAATCACGTGTCGTTTTCTGCAAATTCTCTTATTTTATTTATGTATCATAAGTATTTTTGTCATAAAAAGGTATACTTTAATACTTTTCATTGTGTTTACATGTTGTAAACAATGTATTTAATCTAGTTCTTGGATGATAAACAACCAAAAATATTGTATTAGCACAAAAAATATAGCGTCACACAAAATACCGGACTAATTGAAAATTACCCATATATTTAAAAACTAAAAATACAAATATTCTAGATATCATAAAATGTTGGCACTTCTTATCTGTCTTTTTGTATCTAGAAAACTCTTATTAAACTAAAAATATTTTTTGTTTGCAAAATTTGAAAATATTGATTATATTTTAAGATGCAACGATTTTTGCTAAAAAAAGGCATCTCGTAATATGGAAATTTGTTGACCACATACGAATAAACAAAGACTATTATTAGCTTATTTTCTTTAATTATTATAATAATAAAAAATAATTGCGAATTTATTTGTTTAAACTATTAACAAGTTGTAAAAATTGCACTTTTTTCTGCACGTCTCTTCTTAATAATTTACTTAAATAAACTTATTAATAATTTATTTTGATTAATTATTTTTTCAACAAATATGGCTATTTGTTTTTATTAATACAAATTTTATTATTTTTATACGTTATAATTAATGAATAATAATCAGTAAAACTATTTATTAATGTATATGATGTACATTCGAGACTTGTTATATCCTGTATTATTAAATATTATATAAGGTACGCTAAAAATGGTAAAATATTTAAAATTATGAAATTTGTTAAAAAGTGATTAAATGTGGATGAGAAACACTTTCAAGTTTGAGTACCGCGATTCAACCATCTATTATTCCTGATAAAAAAAGAATACATTGTGACGATAAACGTCAAATTAGCGCTGATAATATGACTTAATTGTTGCCTGTGAGGGCAGCACCTGCCGGGGGGACGAAATTCGTAACGAAGGAATTCGGCACGCGAGCAGACGGAACGCACGCGATTGAAACCGAACTAGTGAAGCTTCGACTACCATTGAGTCCGCTCGCTTTCGCTATCGCTATCGCTGATTCACGAGCCGTCAACATCAACACGCTAAAGCCAGTTATCCGTGATTGTAGCCGCCAAGGTGCCATTCAGCTGCCAGTTCGGAGCCAGGTCAAGAAAGCGTGTGGGAGGTTTCGCCATCGAGGGCGAAACCATATCCGTGTGCGCGCGTTCGCGACCGGCGACAAACATTCAAAAACAGTTCCGCTCTGTGCGATTTATCCGTGTTTCCTTCGATAATAAGGTAAGCTGGCCAGCTTAATATCGCGATCGCAGGTGCATGATTAATAACTAATTTCCGATATTCGAAGCGTGCATGTAGCGGCTCTAGTAA